AAAGTGAACCATCATTAAAGCCGCTCGGTCAATGCTMAGCGAATCTCGTATCCCTACTCAATTCTAGGCTGAAGTTATCAGCACTGCTTGTTTTACTCATAACCGATCGCTAATCGTCAAGAGATTCAAGAAGACAACTTATGAACTCTCCCATAGCAGAAATCCTTCTCTTAGTTTTCTTCATATCTATGGTTGTACTTGCTATATCCTATATAATAGAGACCAACTTGGAAAGTTCAATCCCAAAGCTGACGAAAGAATCTTTCTTGGATATTCTTTGGTATTTCAGAGTTTTCAACAAAAGACGACAGACAATAAAGGAATCTATTCATGTCATTTTTCATGAGTCTCATTTAGCTAATGCTAAACCCATCTCTGAAGATGATGAAGAGTTAGATAACTGAATTATATCTCACTATGGAGAACCTGAAGTATCCTTCAGCTATCAACCGAACGCTGACCCTCCAGAAGCTGACGATGATCCATTTATCATTCCAGATGTGACTAGTAATGGAGATGGATCCTCTTCAAGGATTGCTGATGTTCCCATTGGTCACTTACCCCCTTATGCTTCAAGCATTGACCCTTCAATCGCTGAATCTCTTTAGTCACTGAACCTCTACCAGTTGTTGGATCGCTCTTTTGTGGCTCCTTTAGCAATCCAACATGTTGCTGAAGAATCTGTCACCGATGCCTCATTTTCTATGCATGAGCTCCCAATATCAGAAGATCATCTTCAACCAACTCAGCGATGGACAAAAGGTCATCCAATCGATCAAATTCTTGGTGATCCAAGTGCGGGTATTCAGACACGTCGTGGTCTAGGTAATATTTATCTCTTTGTCAACTTTCTTTCTCTAGTTGAGCCAAATAAAATCAACGAGGCTATCATTGACCCAAGCTGGGTCATTGCTATGCAAGAAAAACTCAGTGAGTTTGATAGGAACCAAGTCTAGTACCTTGTCCTGAGTCCATCTTACAAAACTGTGATAAGCACCAAGTGGGTTATAGGAATAAATTAGATGAACAAGGAATTGTAACCCGAAACAACAATCGTGTTGTTGCTCAGGGATACAGGAAAGAAGAGGGAATCGGTTGTGATGAAACCTTCGTACCAATGGTTAGGCTCGAAGCTATTCGAATCTTTCAAGATTTTGCTTCCCATAGAGACTTTAAGGTCTACTAAATAGATGTAGAGATCACTTTTCTGAATGGAAAACTTCAATAGGAAGCTTATGTTGAACAACCTTCAGGGTTTCTTGACCCCAAATATCTAAATCATGTCAATAGATTGGATAAAGCTCTTTATGGTTTAAACAGGCCCCTCGTGCCTGGTATGACACCCTTTCTTCATTTCTCATCTATGAGAAATTTGTCCGTGGAAAGATTGACCAGACCCTGTTTCATAGGAAAGTCAAGGGTCATATCATTCTAGTCCAAATGTAAGTCGATGATATTATATTTGGTTCCACTAATCCCTCTTTGTGTTTTCAGTTCGCTGAACGCATGAGGAAATAATATCATATGAGCATGATGGGAGAACTGACTTAATTTCTAGGCCTTCAGATCAAACGATCAGGTAAAGGTATCTTTATCAATCAAAGTAAGTATGTCAGGGATATGTTGAAGAAAGTCGACTTAACGAACAATTGATCTATGAAGACTCCAATAGCTCATCCTCTCTCGCTGAACAAGGATCCAAATAGAAAGCCTATAAAAATTACTGTTTATAGAGGAATGATAGGCTCCAAGTTGTATCTCACAGCTAGTTGACCTGATATTATGTACTCTACTTATTTATGTGCATGATTTCAATATGAACCTAAAGAATCCCATCTGATTGTTGTAAAACGCATATTCAAATATCTGAAGAAGACTCCTAATTTGGGTCTTTGATATCCCAAGGAATTAGGTTTCGACCTAATTGGTTATGTGGATAGTGATTTTTCAGGTTGCAAAATTGATAGGAAAAGCAACACTGAAGGATGTCAGCTTCTAGGTGGAAAGTTGGTGAGCTGGACAAGTAAGAAGCAAAACTCAATGTCCACATCAACTGTTGAGGTTGAATATGTTGCCACTGGAAGCTGCTATGCCCAAATCCTATGGATGAAAAAATAGCTCAGTGACTATGATCTTCAGCTCTCAAAGATCCATATCTACTGTGATAGCACTACTGTCATTGCAATTGCAAACAACCCTGTCCTTCAATCCAAGACCAAATATATTGAGATCATATATCATTTTATTAGAGATCATGTTAGAAATGGTAATATTGAACTTCACTTGGTACTCACTGAGTACCAACTCGCTGACCTTTTTATAAAGCCTCTTGATGAGACAAGATTTAACATCTTAATCAGCGAACTTAGAATGTTGAACGCTGATGATTAATTCCTTCAGCTCTAGGCAATACTCGGTGATATATAAGTGAAATGATTCAATATTCTTATTCTATCACTGAACTCTTGAGTAGATGTATTTTTCTTTCTATGGCATGTATACTTATCTTCTTTTCTAAAATCTTAAAACCATCACTGAATCTTTTCATATTTACTAAAAAAATGTTTTAAAAGAGATGTTTCAGTGTTTTCTTATATCACTGAACTCTTTAGTAAGTATATCTCTACGATATATTTACTTGTCTTTTCTTAAAACAAAACTAGCGTTGAATCTTTCCTATTCAGGGATCAAATTTTTTCAAAGGTGAAATGATTCAATGTTTCTCTATCATTGAAATCCATCAGCTAACGGATCTTACTTCTAAGATATGTTATTCTTTTCTTAACTTAAAACTATCACAAAAATTTCTTATTCAGTGATTCTTTGTTTTAAAAGAATCTTAAACCATCACTGAACTCTTTTCTTATTTAGTGATCTTTTAAAATAAAATGATAATGAACAGTCATATTGTTATGACATTATTAATCTTTTTACTTAAATAGACGTCAATACGCGCACGTGCTTCTAACACACGCGACCCATTAGTATTCCATCTAATCACAGGATGATGACATGCAAAGTTTTTCATCATTGTATATCTTTTCGAAGAGTCGTTTTTCCCTCTCTCTTCTTTCTCTATCATCCTTCCTATAAATACATGAGATACCCTCTCACATTTCTCTTTATGGTTACAAAAACTCTCAAGAGCTTCTGCTCTAAAGACTTTGTGCAAGCAAGAACTCAAGAACTTCCATAACCTACGAACTGTTTTCTATTCTTCCTAAGCAAAATAGGTTGGTAATCTTTTAATATTTGGTTGTTCTTTTTCTTCGAAACATTGTTTGATATATAACATCTTTCTTCCTTCTCTTAAATACAAACAAACATGTTAAAGAATCATTCTTATTCTTGATCTTAACCTAAGTGTCTAAAACTTAATCTACTAGACAAACCTTAAACTCTTTCTGGATTTTTCAAAAGAAGTTTTTCCTTCAAAACTTTTCATATAGTTCCTTTCTAAAAAATTCTTTATTACTTCTTCCTTTCTTTTATTACTTTCTTTTTACCGAAATGGCCGCTTAGAATGTCAACTTCTTAATGGATGAAATTTCATTCAAGCCAAACAACCACGTTGGTTTGCTCAAGATACATGCAAACAAGCCTCAGTTCGTAGACGCAGCTAGGTTCCTCAAGAACTCTATGTTAGGACATACCCTCTCCTTCAAGCCAAATATGGTCAAGGAATTCCTTCAGCATTTTGGTTCACTGTGGAACCCAAAGAAGAAAAAGACAAGGCTGGGAACCCGGTTGAGAATATCTCCTTCACCTTCAACCGGATAACTATCAGTTTTGGTGTCCCAATGATCAGAGCTTCCCTCCATCTCCCAAGAACATTGCCATTTGCCAAGGATTCAGACACTTACTTCATAATCAAGACTTTAGATGACATTAGCTACAACCAGACAATGAAGAAGGATTCCAGCGAGCCCAACAAGTCGCTGAGAAGAACCGCATGTCTGCGGTGTGGCAATATCTATTCTCGCACTTCATACAGTGCATGGGCGGGAAGATAGGCAGTCAGCACCACACCTCACGTGTCTCCCTCAACATTGGCGTCTTAGTGATCAGGCAGCTAAAAGTCAATTGCGCTCAATTGATATTCAACGACCTGGTGTTGAATCTAAACAAGCGCCAGCGTGAGAAGGTGGTGCCATACACTCATTTTCTTAGCAGTATCCTTGCAAAGATCTTTGGCAACAACTACCCCGCTGAATGTAATGTGCAAATATGTTGGCTTGGGTCTAGGATTCTAGACTACAAGTCTAAGTCTATAGACATTGGCCTCTTTGCTCTAATGATGGAGATTACCAATGGCTCCTCTTTCTTTCCTGCTTCTTCTTCTACTTCTTCTCTTCTACTGGTGGTTATCACTGGGACAAACCCTCCTCAGTCTATCCCAACCACCACCACCTTATCCTCTAAGAGGACACAGTCTCAAGCCAATCTTGGTTCTTCAATGAAGGCCAAGAAAGCCAAAAAGGGGCAAACCGTATCCCTAGCGTGGACCTCTCAACAGGTCTCAGCTATTTAAAATAGCCTTACCCCCGAGGTACTATATTTACCCATCCTAAGCTCTTCAGTGCTCTCTTCATACATTGTCATACAAGTGACTACTCACCCAACCATTTAGTGACCCAAATCACTGAAAGTGTGAATATCAGCAATGCCACTGCTGAACACCCATGCTCTCTCTCAACCATTCTTTTTATCCCTCTCCTTTGGTCTCTATTACTCGTGCTAATGATTTATCATTGGTTATCCCCACTAGTGGTGAAGCACTCACCACAGGACCTAAGGTCGCTCCTCTCGAGGCGCCTCAGATAATTGTTGTCTCTCCTTAGAAAGGCACATGTGCAAACACCGGTATCAATCCTTTAGATGACGGTGAGGACCCCTCAGTTACTCTCTTACCCTACCCTTGCTTTTTTACTAACATAGAGCTTTCTTATGCTCAAGTATCTCCTTCTTTTACAAGTCCTTCTAGAGCTAAACCCACAGCCATGGAGACTAAGTTCTATGACATGGCTGAGGATGTAAAACTTCTCATGCCCGCTATGGCCACCATCCTTGATAAGATGGATGAGGTTCACAAGGCAATGCCTGTAAAAGAAGACCTTACTCACGGCCTCTCTGCTGTCAAAGCTGAGGTCTTTGATGTAAAAGAAATGCTGACAACACTGCAAGTTGAAGTCTGAGCCAACACAAAGGTGGTCGCTGCCCTTGCCAGCAAAGCCGAAGAACTCCAGGCTCATCTCACCAGGCATGGTGAGCTGCTTCATCAATTCTTCCAGCACCGACAACAACCGGCCCCTGAACCTGTGTTCATTGAGTCTGACCGTCAGCACTTGGAGCGGGTGGCCAATTTCAACCTCTTACAAGTTGAGGCTCTCTCCAAACTAGAGCAATGTGTTGAAGACATCTCCTTGCGTCTTGATGATATCACCTCATGTCTTGATAATGACAAAGAGGGGGAGAAAGACAATAGTGAAAAAATTATTGTGCAGAACACTAGCGATGCTGCTACTAATGATGAAGCCTTGTTGTTTTCCCTCATGCAGATGATATTCCTGTCGCTAAAGATGCCATCACAACCAATGAAGCTGAAGCTAGGATGATGATGATGCCCTGATAGCTCCGACTACTCATGAAGATCTTCCCTCCACCTCTGCATTGCAAGATATTGGTGATGAGGAAGAAGATGATGAAGAGGACGATGAGGATGAAGAACCTCAGATCCCTGATGTTATACAAGACCTTAGAGACAACAACGATGATGATGACAACGATGATGACGACTTAACCATCCAGTACCATCCAAGACTGGCTCAGAAGGGTGTATCCCTTAGGGAACCAGCTTCCTAGGGGGAGAGAACCTCAAAGAATCATCACTCCTCCTCTAAAGACAAAGGAGTGGTTGAAGAAGGGAATCTTGCCATCATTTGAATGCAATCGACCCGACAAAGGTAGCTCAATGCTCAAGGTTCGTGCTGTTTTCTCTAGAATTTGAACCTTCTTCTCTTCTACTCACTGCACCAACAATCCCTTGTGGTCCTCCAGATGAAAGGAAAATTGATATTCCAACATTTGGAGTTGATAATGACCAAAGGATGATTCAGCTGAGGAGTCAGCTCGACCAAACCAAAGTAAAAATCCCTTTTCGTACCTTTGGTTGTGGTGAGTTCGACTTCTTCACTGATGTTGAACCAGAAGATTTCCTGAAATCCGAACAAGAGTTGAGCATACAACATCAACAAATGAAAGACAGTCTAAAGCTGGCCAAGTCTCTAGCTGTCCAAGCTCTGGCCAAAGGGAAGCTCAAGAAAAAGGATCCAGTCAAAGCTCACGCAATTGCGGTCACAAGCTGAACGAGAACATCAAATGGCGCTGACCCTGAAAGACCGAGACCTGAAGTGGTGCAATGAAAGGATGAAGAAAAGAATAAGTCCCCATAGGATCTTACATATCACCATCAGCGAACAGATGAAAGATGGTGGACTCCTTATTTTTTTGGTCATCTTCATTGAGAACCAAGACGTTGTCACCGAGTACCCTCCTTACCTCTGGTAGTATGGCTTCGATGAATGGCTGGAGATTCGATCGGCTATTCATCGATCAAAGTCAAAGCATAAGCTGGTGATTGAAGACATCCTGAACAAGTTATTCAAGAAGGTTTCCAAGATCGTTGAGGTCCCTCCTTTGCCAGAGAAGCCTCTCTCCATAATAAAACACCTTTCAGATCCTGAAGATGGATCATCCCACAGGAACGAACACGAGACTAAATTCTCCTTGGATGAAATTCTGAAGGATGGAAAGAAGCCGAATATCTCAAAGATGAACCTAACACCGCCAGCGAAGGGTCCCTACATACTCAATACTATGCATGTGAAACCTGAATTTGGACTCATATTCATCAACTATGATGGTGAATATAGGTTATAGCGAGTATCCAAGTTCCACATCTGTCAGATAGATCATTTGGAGTATCTCTGGACTTGGCTACATAATGACATCTATGGAGAGGTGAAGGAATGGAGGATCAGAAATGAGATGTTGAGATGAAGCTCAGAGAAGATGTACCTGGTTATATCAACTTCAGCGACTTAGTTTAGACCTTTTTTCTGTCTTGTAAACTTTATTTTCCTTTCTTTACTTTCAATGTATAACCTATATATAATAGGTTTACCAATACTGAAAAAAGACTTGTAATATTTTCCAATGTTTAAATATTCAATGAGATCATCAGTTCACTGGAAAAAGATCCCTGAAAAGAGTATTTTTCAAGTATCTATGAGTTCCAATACTCTTACATTCATGGAAAACTTTCTAGTAAGTGAATATGCTTTTAGTTTTAGTTATCATTTTTATGTCAATTTATCCTTGAACTTGTAATCCTTTTCAAAATTTAAGTAAATTTTCATAAGTAAACTGTATCACTGAAAAAGATCCCAAAACAGTAAAAAAAAGACAAGTATATTACTAGAACCTTTTTCTTACTGATGTAACTTAAACAATTTTCTTTATGTTGCTTTGTCATCATAAAATAAGGGTAGATTGTTGATCCTCTCTCTCAATGATTTGATGATGATTATTTTATTTATCAAAGTGTATTATTTTTGTTATTCAGTTTCCGCGATCTTCACCGAGTCTGTTCAGTGATCGGTGAAGATTTATTGTAATTCATTCAGAGACCAATATACTTCAAGAAGATAAAACTCATATCACAGATCCTTCAGTGATGTCAAAGACAGAAACTGAAGATTAGAGACCAGCAAGTTCGTGATCTGAAGTGGTGTTCAGTGATAACAAACTCGTCTACAAATGTGTGAAGTCTGTGCAAGATTCAACGAACACTGATGAGACCTTTCAGCGTCATTCCAGTGTTCAATGATCAAATGAATATTTTCAAGCAAGATTGTTTTTGTCTTGTCCTTTGTGTCTCATACCTTTATAAGTATAGTACAATACGAAGCCACTCCTTTGACTTTAAACGTCTTTACATACTTTATGAAAGAGGACTGCTCATATACAGCCAAAAGAACTGTATGCTGTAGCAAATGACAAGTTTTCCTTTTAAAGCTTGCCACGTGCCCTGTAGCTTTTGAATTGTATTTAATGCAATGGGTATAAATAGCTGAATAGTTCTCCTCTCAGTTATCATCTTCCTCACTAAGAACTTACCCAAGAAGTTACTTCTCTCTGTACTTTCTGTCTAAGGAGAAAGACCTACTTTAACAAGTGAAGAACACATTTCTTCTTATCTTATTTGTTGTAGCAAATCTTTTCTTATTGCTATCTGTATTTTGTGTGTATCTTAGATTGTTTAGATATGTTATGTATCCTATTTCTTCCGCGAACAATCTATAAAATTTGTATTGATCTTCTTTATCAATGTATAATTTTTAAAAGTCAAAGTTACTGTGTTTGTATTCATCTCCCCTTCTACAAACTGTTGCTTATAAACTCTTGTAGATATGGCTAGGCCCAACACAAAGTTTAGTTGAAGTCATCTTTTATAGAGTTTTGATAACTACTGATTTATGATCTCAAATCCTAAAGGGGATATTGTTAGGCCCGAAATATGTTTTATTCGAGATCACCGAGTATGAAGACGAGAGTGAATAATGAAGACATCAAAGCTTCCGAGTCAAACAATTCATGTAAAGTAAATGTTTAAAATTGTAGTTTGACTTTGTATTAGTCAATCCATATAAATACTTTGTAAAGTTTGTAGTATAATAGAGAGCTCATTTGATAGATTTACGTGCTCATATTTGTAGAGAGAGCCTTGTTTTTAGAGAGAGAAACAATCAATACATATGGTTTGATCTTAATTGTTGTTCTTCATTGTTTAGATTACTTGCTACTTGATCATAGCGGGATTTTCAACCATGTCAATTAGGAACGAATCACCGTTCTCTTCTTCATGTTTCTCACAATAATGCCATTAAACCTTTTGGTATGGTATTGTGTACTCTGATGTTTGGGGCTCGGCCTCAGTTTTATCATTTAGTGGAAATCGTTACTTCGTTTTTTTATTGATGATGCCACCAAGTACATATGGATTTATTTTCTTATACACAAATCTCAAGTGTTTAATGCCTTTCTCACTTTGTCAAAGCAATGGTCTATACCTTGTTGATCCTCTTTCACATTGATTTGATGATAATCCTTTTTTTCTATTCGAAGCATTATGTTTCTGTTCTTTCAGTTCCAGCGTCATCACTGAGTCTGTTCAGTGATCGCTGAAACATATATTGTAAATTCTACAATGACAGTGATACTTCAAGAAGACAAACCTCACACCAAAGAACCTTCAGTGAAAGTCAAAGACTGAAACTGAAGATTAGTGACTCGCGCTTTCGTGATCTGAAGCGGCATTCAGTGATTACAACCGGGTCAACATCTAGCGAATGTTGAAGAGACCGTCAGTGTTATTCCAGCATTCAGCGATCAAATGAAGCTTGTTATGCAAGATTTTTTTTGTCTTGTCCTTCCACACACAGAGGACAAACCCACACCATTTCTAGAGTATAGTATAGTATGGAGTCGACTAGTCGACTCAAGTACCCACCAACTCCACGAAAGGATGTCTGCTCATAAATAGGCAACTGTACTATTTACTGTAGCAAAGGACAACCTTTCTGTTATACCCCATAATTCTTATGTGTAAAAGTAATGAAGAAAAACAAGTGATGTAGAACTAGAAGGCCGATGGAAGACTTCAAGGCAAAATGGCTAAGTCCTCAATACAACCAAAGGGTCGATGGATCGACCAGAGATGCGATGGAAAGGGCATCTTCATAGCCCCTCTAGTTACCAACACTTGGAGTTTTCTACTATAGTTCAACTAGAGGCATGCGATGAAGATAAGGTTGAATAACACCCCANGCATCTTCATAGCCCCTCTAGTTACCAACACTTGGAGTTTTCTACTATAGTTCAACTAGAGGCATGCGATGAAGATAAGGTTGAATAACACCCCATGGAAGACAGCTGGAGATGACTAATCGATAGCTGGATTCTACAAAGTTTATCTTGTTTTGTTAATTATCCATGTCTAGATAAGCTTTATCTTTCCTAGAAAATTTGCTAGATAGTCTCTCTAGATAGTTATCTTCTTGCTTAGATTACTAGTATAAATAGGTGTTAGGCCTATTGTAATCAGAACGCTTTTTGGACGTTTTTCACAATCATTGAAATAAAGTGAATCCTTTGATATTCAAGTATATTCTTTGAATGTTCATCATTTGTTCTTGAGTGTTCATTATTTTATTCATCCAAACTATATAATTAGGTTATTCTTAACTTAATTATTAGTGTTAATTGAGAAATCTGGGATCAACAATTGGTATCAGAGCCAATTGATTGTTCTTCAATCAAAACGATCATAAAAAGCTCTCAATTCGCCTTTTTCATTTTTTTTCAAGTTCATAAAAATCTTCTCTAAAAAGCAAAATTTTTCTCTTCCAAATCTTCAATGGCCAACTGGAATTCTGCTTATAGTGTTGGTTCCCTCACCAAACCTCCAA